GACGACCGGAAGCCCGCAATTCTCGAAATTCTCGAAATTCTCGAAATCTCATCTTACTTTTGTCTTCCGCTTAAAATCGATTCAAGCGCTGTGATTGGTTATGACTTATGAATAAAATTTTATTGTCATACAATTTTAAAATGTATGAACACAAAAAACACAAAATCAGTGCCAATATTATTCATCATATTTTTTGCGCACCTATATATCGCAATAATCGCGCACAAAACTGCCGATCTTCCACTGCAGCGGTTCGCCACAAAAACACGATAATCTTAAATAATTGTTACGTAGTTACAATATTAGCATACTCGACGAAGCCCGTACAGCACCATCGTAATATTTACCAGAAAAATAATTTTCGTTAGACACGGCGGCGGCGTGTTTGATGTTCACGATTGTCTATATAGTTTTCCGTTCTCTGTGTTGTGTTCAATGAACCGGCCAATTCCGTCTGGTTTTTCAATAGATTTAAAATTCCCCGCGTTAACTATAATAATAATAATGATACAGTATATACGTATATGCATCAACGATCACAATTTGTTTTCATTTATGCTCTATCGTGTAGTATTTGATCCTAATTAGTAACTTGTGATGCAAATAATAAGGCGAAAAGAAAAACCTAATGGTTACTCAAGTTAAACATATTATTGAATTTCGTATTTCATTGTACGTCTTATTATGTACTGTGTAATACCTATATCGTTATTATACGATTATCGATTAATTAATTGATTTGATTAAATTCTAATATGTGCGTGAAGTTGCCCCCCCCCCCTCCCACCATAAACAATTTTGTTGAAAGTTATGTTATCATTTAGCAAATAATTTGCAAATATTTGCAAAAAAATTCCCTGCCAGGTATAAAAAAAATAAGACAGGAGGGGGGGGGGCAACTTCAGGCACATAATTCTAATAATATCCGAGTATATCACTTTATTCAAACGGTTACGGCTTTAGTAATTTAAAAATGTATAATTTTAAGCACAAAGAAATTACTGCAATAATGCATTTTAAGAACGAAGGTTACTCAATATTATACTGACACACACGGCATTATTTGTAAAATGCTTAAAACAAAATATAATGATGTAAAAGAAAAATTTGAAAAGTTATAGTAAAAATATTACTATATTATAAAATATAAATACTTACACTAGGATTCAAACATATCTACGGATACACTAATTTGAACATACTTATTAGATATTGCTATTTATTAAATTATTAAACATAAAAGTTTGAATGGTACCGAGTCAATATATAGACCATAGTTATTGTTAGTTATAATTTATAACTAGTTAAAAAGTATTAATAGTAACATTAGTAACTACAAAAAATATAGAATCTGACAAATTTTACATTTTCAAAACATTGTTAGAAGTTTAGTTCACATAACTCAATTGATAGCATAATCTCAATGCCATTGACTGGTACATTTTGATATTGCGGTTCCAATTCTAGTTCCGGTACTCAGCTATATCATTAAATATTTCTAGTTCCGTTTCCGGTCCTTAAAAATGTAAATAAAGGGTTATAGTTAAAACTTATATTAAACGGTTCCAAATCATTTTTTAAAGTAATGAATATACTTATAAGTTATATTATGTTTGATTTTCATACATGAACAAAATGTTAACAGGTACATAATATATAATATGCCAAAACAAAGTATAAATATAAACATTAAGCAGCCATTTAAATTTTAAGATATCAAGAGCCCTAGCCGATACAACCCATCTAACGCATATAAAAAGGTCCAGAGACCTTTTAACCTAATTATTATTAATATTAAAAATTAACTATAGATACTATTGAAGTCTAGAGCTATCTAGTTAACTTACTATAGTAATTATATTAATACTAATATATATTGCATATTATATAATATATAGTAGAGGAATATCGATGAGTATTCTATCTGATCAAATTTACTTATTATAAAATAATATAGGTTTATAAAAGCACTTCTTAAATCTTCCTGAAAAAATGAACTTGAAGGTAAAAACAAAACTAATTATCGTTATAAATGTTTGAAAAAATCGATTTTATTTTTTTAGTGTAACTTAAAAATGAATAACCATAGACACTTGAATTGTTCACCAAATATTATTTGTATTAATTTTTTCCACATATGCTAACATTTAAAAATGTTTTGATGTTTGTTTTTTTTAGTTATTTATAATCTTGAGAAAAATTAAAATTTTATAAATATTTTTAAAACTACTGTCGACAAAAACGTTTTTATCTACTAAAAAAGCTTAAAAATGTAACGTAAGTTTCCTCTTAAGATGTTTTACTAGCTAATCAAAAAAATATTAAAGATACATAATCATAATTATTTTTATATGCATTAAAATTTCAAATTTTGACAAACTTCATAAAAATCTAGTAAATTTTCAAATTATTTCTTAGTTAGAAGTTCATAAAAGTTTTTATTTTCATAGCTTATATTAGGCATTTTAAAATCCCCTCAAATATTTGTACCTTAAACAAAAAAAAAGTTTACCGGAACTAACATTTAATTATGTTTATGGTATTTGATATCGAGCTGTAAATTAACAAATTCCAATAAATTGATTTTTGATATATTGTTGTTGTTTAAAAACTAATACTCGTAGATACTTGAAATTATCACCTATATTTATAATAGTATTTTCCATATATGATAACATTTTAAAACTCTTAGTGCTAGCTCTAGTGCTCTTTATAGCCAGGAGATATTTTAGATTATAATTATTTATTTTTTAGATTATTAAATTTAATTATTTATACAAGTATGGTGAAATGACACTGAGCCTCCGCTTAGAATCGCTTTTTGTGTGCGATGGTTTATCATTGAATTCGATTATAATTTATAACACATCCATTACAATGCTATGCTCGACAAGTACTGTACAGCAGAGTGGTATCCACTTGTCCACTTATTTTTTTTTTCTATCAATATTATAGAAGAGTTATTAGTAATGATACATTTGATACAAAATACTGTGTAACAAAATATATAATTTGCTAATAATAGTGATGTTATTTGCACGGTCAGGACTAAATTTCCCAGACAATCCAAGACTCCTTTTCATATTTCAGTTTTCTTGTTATATATATCTAGGTGCATTAGCTATTTATATAACAATCATTCTAGTATTAAATCAAATGTAACTGTATTATACGGGATGAATTCACTTATTCAAATTCCAATTTTTTGTTTACATTTTTACTTAATATAAGGTACAAATTTATATAATTAAATACATAAGTAATCGTATACTTTTAAAAGAGTAACCTTTGACACAACAGAATATTATTTTCCACATGGACAACACACATTTCTCATTATAAAGTATAGATTTATATGAGTATTTTTAAGTACCTCTTCAAAAATATTTTTTGAATCAGTCTCATTGGCATAATGAGCATGAATAATTAAAAGTATCCAAAAATAGTTTTGACTTTTTTGAATTTTAGATTAAATATTGAGTGTTTAAACTTTTAAATAATGTTATAAATTAATTGAATTTTTCCTTTATCCAAAAAAATCGACACAGTCTATACTACACTACTACCTATATGTGTGAAGTAATATTATGCCAACAATTAAGAAGTAGTAGCAGGTCTTATGCTATAGTATTAGTAGTTAGTCCATACTTTACTGCTCTCAATCCATCTTGCTGGTTATGATTAGAACATGCATATAAGTGAGGACATTTCTACTTTTTGCACTTTTACTTTTTAAGCATGATGAGAAGTTCCATTTTAACGTTAAAATATAAAAAATATGAAAATGAAAAATTATTTAAAAATTGAGAAATATACAGAAAAAATATTTAAAAAAAATATAAAAATGGAAATTAAAAGAAATATGTCTGACATATAGCTAGAATACGGTCTACCGGCAAAGAAAAATATAAACTTAAAAAATAAAAGTTTTTTAAATTTTTTGACTTCGTTTTCAATTTAAAACTCTCCTTTCTTTGCGTATGTAAAAATACATGTACTCCCACATGTGTGAGCCACATACACATACGTAATTGGGTACTTTTTTTGCTTAGAAAAAACATTTTTACTCCTTAAAAAATTGGTGTTTTATTCTTCACTATTCACTACTTATAATTAAATAAAAATCTTTTTTCCAATATATTGAATGTGTGACTGAATGAGTGTCAAAATAATATCAATATGTATTAAGCAGGATATATTGTAGTGTCGTGCAATAAGTGACGTGCCTATGTATGACTTATCTGATATCTGAGTCCAAACTTTTATGAAACGTCGACGCATTGTAATCGAATTTCATAAAGTATAAGGTCATAAAGAAAATAGATTAAACCATATCTAACAGAGGCTCCAAGTTTTGAAAATGTCATGTATGGGGGGAGGGAGTCTCACAACAAGTGTACAGTTTTACCCAAATTGTACCAAACATTACCTACTTTTATTTTACATAAATTGTTCATTAAACAAATGGGTACTAAAGTATAGTTATAAGTTATTTGTTGTTTTGTATGATATAACATTTTAATAACAAAAATCACAAGAATAGAATAACAATTAAAAAGTCTCAATTTATTTTTGAAATTAATTTGTTACAACATAAAAATACTAATTAATACGACTATTTAATTTGTTAATTAATATATATATTTTGTTTTTTAAAAATACTCTACTCAACAATTTACAGAGAAGACAAGTTCTAATTTGAAAATGATCAATCAGATTTTGTTTATATTTTTTAATCATCTAAAAACCAACAACATGAACTTCAATTATATTTGACCGAATGTACAGAGAACAATCTTGATAACAATAATAATAATTATTTTTTACAATTATCATGATAGTATACTATAGGTACGTAAAATAATAACAATGATGATTGTTTTTTTGGACACAATTAATTAAACAAGCTTAAAAATATATTACAACACACAATGCTTATAAAAAATAAACTATAAATAAGCCTGTTGAATATAATATTTATCAGAAGCAGATAAATATACTTTTGACTCTTTCATAATATTATCATTTGTTTGTGAACATTTATTATATTTGCATGTTATACTTCAAACTGATGAACAATGAAATATTTTTTTATTATTTTAACAGAATTTATGATCCTTGTCGATTCTGGAGTAAAAGACTTCAAGATTCTCCCAAATTTACCCCTTGTAAGTATAACTTGATTATTAAATAAAATATATTTTAAACGAGTAGGTGTTATACCAAATCAAAATTTAACCCCCGTAAAAACAAAAAGGTATTAATTATAGGCATAATTTTATAATTAGATGTTTTATCGTTCTATATATCTATTAAGTGTTAATATGTATCTTAAGCAAATGGTGTGTATTGTTTATAAATTAATATTTTGCTTTATATTCACTTTCACAATCGTAATTTTGTGTGAACTCAAAATGTGAAGATTGTAAGCTAATCCCCTGCTTACTTATTTTGAAGAAACTTAAGTTCTTGGCCTTGAACGAATTAAAATATTTACATAGATGAAAAAAATGCATATTATATTCATAGACAAGTTGTATGATAATAAAAAGTACAATATCTATTGAAGTCTCAGGTCACGGCCATTATTTTACCATAAGGAGTCTGGGCAGGACCCTATTTGAACATTTTGCACCCCAGGACAACATATTTGCTTTCTCCCCCCCAAAGAAAGTCATGCCTTAAAAAAAAGTGAGGTATTTATAACTACTATTTTTTTGGTATAAATGCAGTTTGGTTCAAAAACGATTTTTAACATTTTTAGGGAACCTATAAGTATTTCAGTGAGTTAAAAACAATAATGCAATCAGAAGTTTTCGGTCGAAATTAATTTCAAAGTTATACAATTTTGAAGTCTGTGAGTTTGTATCTTCCCACCCGTCATGAAAGTTTGTTTCTAATAAACTACTTTTTTGACAATAAAAAAATACGTTAAGTACTTACCTAATTATGATTCAACCAAAATTTAAATGATGACAAATCTCAAATTCACACAAAAAAAAGGCTATTTTTAGGTATTTTAAGCTAAAATACGGAATTTTGAAATGTTGAAGTTTTTTAATCATAAATTCCAAAGAAAATTTGACCAACTTTTATTGTTAAGTATCATTTTATTGAGCATGCAAAAATACACATTTTGAAAAAAAAATGCACAAACATAGCTTGACTTCATTCGTTCCAATGTCTTATGTTGTAATTTCTTATAGTTATCTCTTAAATCTATAGGAAGACTAACGTTAAATAAACAAATAATAGTTTGTATAAAAAAAATATAAGTCAAACAAGAATTAAAACACAGATTTTTTTATATTGGACCTTGGAATTATATAAATGTCTGATTCGACAACTGAGGGCATAACTATAACATTTATATTATATACATTTAAATTTTACTTAATTGAGAGTAGAATTATGCAAATAGACAAAAAAGATATGCTTAAGTTGAGAAAATCATCTTCTCATTTACAAACTTAAGTATATCTTTTGTTGTTTAAGTAAGTGTCAGATTCAGTTACAATTTTTCTCATTTTTTAATTTCCTTGAACATTTTGTTTGTTAACCATGTGCTATTTATTTTTAGCGCCGGCCGAGTTGAACTCGGCTCCCACTAATTCTAGAGTTTAAATCGTTTGCATGTTGTCAATACCATATGGTGTTGTGACTTCTAGTAGGGGATGGATGGCCATGGATATTTTCGATAAGGTGTTTAAATTGCTCTATTTCTTTTTATTATTATATGCTAGTCTTGCTGGTTCTAGTAGTTAATCTAAATTTTCGGTAAATTTGTTTTTTATTCTTTGTGCACCTATAAAAAATTTCTTTACAAGCGTTTAATGTATTTTATTCTTATTGTAAAAAAAAATCGTGATGGACACATTCAGGGCTGGGCAATATCTTAGATACAATTGTATGAGATCAAATCATACCGTATTATTATACATTTATAAGCTATAATATAACATAAATTATATATAGTAAAATTGTATCCAAGGTTAATTAAGAAATTAATAAAAATAAATATATATATATTAAGTATCTTGTATTTTACAGGTATCTCAGATATATGTACCTTGTATCTAGTATCTTTAAAAATATTATAGCATCTTGTATCTTGTATCTTGTATCTTGTATTTAGATACTTTTTGGAGGTATGTATCTTGCACAGCCTCGGACACATTATATTCAAAAAATGGAGTACCTAGTTATAGTCTTATAGACGATACAAAATATCTTTCTTGGTTCATATTTGAGCTTAAAAATGTTTGTAATTATTTATATTGTTTTTCGACTAATTTATGAAAACATTTGGCAGCTTTTAGCAAATAAGAATCATAAATTATTAAAGATATATATTGGCAAAATATTAGAAATAATATATAATAATATCAATTTAAAAAGAAATATTATTGTCGTAGAATTGCGAATTTTCATCTGATTTCAGGGAGAATATCGAGTAAATGTCATCGCTATTCATCACTGTTCTACAACTCAGAAATACAATTTTCAGTATAATTTTTTTTTATTCAAGACATCTAGAACTACAGTTCAACTAAGAGGAAATATTTCATGTATTAATAGGGCATTTGATGATTCTTTATTGGTAAGTTTGTAAAATGAAATTGACATATAACTTGAAAAATGTATAGTTATCATTTTATCAAATTGCCGTTGCTTTAGAAAAATATATTCTCATACGCAACTGTAAAATTATTTATAATTTACAAACTTATAAAGTACCTAAATTAGTTTATATTAAATAGACTTCACTAATATAACTTTTGAATGTATTAACTGCTTAAGAATTGTGAGTCATCTTAAAGATGTACAACATTTTAATAGTTGTTAACATGTATTTACTATTTACTAACTTATTTATTAACTGTTTTCAATAAATTATATAAGTAAGTACATTTTTGATATAGTTACGTGGTTCTATGGCAATAAAAGACAAAATTGGTGGTTGGCAGAATAACGCGTACGTATATCAATCACCAATGGCATACTCCGGTCTCAAAAAATTGTTTGGAGCTGAATTTGCAGTATTTTTAAATAGCTTTGGAGTAAATGACACAAAACAGAATTCGATTCCACCAGTATGTTATTTTTTAGAAAATAATTTGCACCTAAATTCAATATTATACGAACATAATAAAATATATTATTTTAGGGAATATATACCACCAAAGGTTATGATATTTCGAACTATCCATCAAATACAAATTTACCAAAACAAATTTTCTATGGAACGTACAAAATGAATATTAACTATACTGAAAAAAGTGGCAGTCTTGTTGGATGTTATATATTTGTCATTGAAATAAAACGTCCATGGGAAATTGAATGAGTTTGTTATTTAATGAGGTGTAGTTTATTACAACTATATGCATAAGTTTTAAAAAGAAAAAAGAAAAGAATTTTATTAAAGGTTTGATATATTTATATTTATTTTATTTTATAGTTACATATCATTTTACTAATAAATGTAATAATATTACCTATGTGTACTTTACTATGGGGATACCATTTTCATCCAATAATGTTCTTCCATTGTTCTTTTTTCTCAATAAATCAAACAGGCTTTCCATTTTTCCACACATATCAAAAGAATAATAGACGGGGATTTGATTTGAAAAAAAAATTTGGTATAATTTATTTAGAATTGAATTGTTATATTTAATTTAATTAACATTTATCGTTATTTAGAATTAAAACGTATTGGGTTTCTTACATGTAACCGAGTACAGGCGATTTAGTCACAATGAGTTTATGGATATAACTAGTCCAAATTGACCTCATTTATATATAATTATAATTATCGAATAGTAACAAACAAATTTAATAATATTACGTGTACTCTATATACATTTATATACATGGTGATTCACCAAGCATGCTCACCCCTATTTTTTCCTTAAATAAAACAATTATTCAAATTCTGTGTACTTGAATCTTGAATGTACTCAAAGACAGGTTTTTTAATTCTTAATTTTTTTTTTAGTATTTTAGATGTTTCCAATGGAGTTGCGAGCTTCTGTTTTTCAAATGAGAGCTCTTATTTTGAATGTAATTTATTTACCAGATAATTTTTCTGAAAATGTTACGTGTAGAGTACACTGTAGACTCAAAATAGAAATATTATACATTTATATAGTGTTTGAGTTATTTAACTTTGTGTATTAAAAATAATAAGTCCATGATAACTGGTTTGGAAGAGAATGGCAAATACGTACGTTTGTTAGCTAGTCTGCATAAATATAGTAAAAAGTATAATAAACACTAAATAAAATATTAAATCAAAAAAAAAATTTGGAATTTTGCTAAAATCCATTTAGTAAAATATTATTTAATAATTTTTATTCAAATCTCTTAAAATATTGGACAACGTAGCGCTATCTCGCGGTTTAAGAATATGAAAATGAACTTCAAGTATCATACTAACCCCAATAGATAGCATTGCAGTAACAGAAACCTTGAAATGTATACCTACCTAAAACAACATACTAAGACAATTTATATCATTGAGTAAATATTTAATATTTTATTTGTATATTGTACAATATATTGTTATACTCAATGGTTATAAAATAAAATATATTTTATGTAATGTGTGTTGTGTACTTGTGTGGTTTAAAATATATCTTATTGGAATGTATAATAACAATATATTATTATACCATGTAACTATGTAAGTTGTCACTACTCACCACTATTTGCACCATGTTAATGTTGAATTATTTATACAATTATAATTTTTAAATAGTATTTCTATACATTAAATATAAGTATGTATTGTTATCATAAAAATAGAATCTAAGATTGGTCGTAAAATCACCAACAAAGAAATGAAATAATAGATTTATAACAAAGAGATGACAATACAAAATGCAACATGTTATTAGTCATGAAAATAGTTGTTTAAATTAACTTTGTTTAAAGCATTACGATGAATCAAAAAAGGTTATAAAATGTAATAGCACGTAGAAAAAAAAATGAAATTGAATTTGATTTTGAAAACGTTGAATATTAGTACTACTTAGAGACTTCGATAAGAAGATCACCATTTTGTTCTTATAATTGTCTATGGAAATGCATTAATTCCTAAGTCATATTATATAAAGTGTATTAAGTTAAAAACTATCATTATCACTTTGTATGCTTATTGCTTTCATAATATTAAATTATTGCTTACAGAAATCAGTGATATTTTTCCTATGGAAATAATTGTGAATAATATCTTATTCTCTACAAACAAGAAGTTCGAAATACAAATTTTAATACATTGGCTTGAGATTGTACATTTTACTGCCGTTTGTCCCTCCTCAAATGTCATCACTCGTAATTTCTAAGGTGACGCATGAATTATCTGCTGCTAAATAACAAATTTATATCACCATGTTTAACATTTGTCTAAACTATATACAAGATAATTACGTATGCAAATCTGGGCAAGTTAATGCTATTTTTAACAGAGTTAAGTTGATTAAAAACACTAGAAATTTAATGTTTACTTTTTATTTTGAGTTTATGTTATTGTTATGATAAAGAAACGAACAATTCACTTACGAACTCTGGTGAATTTCATAGTTTTAAAATATAAATATCCAATAAACAAACCGATACCTTTCATAAATGCCCATGTTTTATCAAAAATGCATTTTTTATTTAAAAACTTTGACGAAACTAATGTCTAACGTCGACTAATGGCAGCAAGAAGTAAATTCATAAAAAAAATTTATATCATGTAGTATTGATAACCATTTTTTTTATTTCGCCAACATTGATTTGATTGAAAATAACCCGTTGTTTTTTAGTCAATAGCAGTGAAAAGCAATTTATTTAATACAAATTAAATGCAAAAAAGAGGAAAAGTAGATAACCGATCTTCTGGAAGCAAAGTTGGGCAGTAACTAGATAAAAAGTTATAAGTTAGGTTAAAAATTACTTTTGCGATAACTTTTAACTAAACTAGTTTAAAAAAAATGAAATGACTTAGTACCTAACTAGTATAAATAATTGTAACTTAGTTACTCTGTTAAAAATAAAGATATTTGTAAAAAGTTATTGATGAGTTTTCCTATTATGAACTATACCTATATTATTAGCATTGATATTTCTGAGAACTGCCAGGACGGATATAACTACGTTTATTTAATAATATAGTATATTTATATTGGCTATATAAAGTAATTAATTTTACCGCTAAAAATCCTGTAATTTTAATTAATCTTTGCGAAAATAATGAATTTATGAAATTGTAAGTATTTGATTATTATAATATAATTAAATATATTATTTATTTTATTTCTTGTATATTTATGTCCTATAATATTATTGTTATTAACTTTTGAGTTAATATCATTTTATACCAAATTCTTATCTTAACCATTTATAGTTCTTTGGGTTTGAATTGGTTTTGAGTTAAATTAAAAAAACAAATTGACTTCGTCAAAAACTACTTTTGTTTAAAAATTCTAGTTCTTCGTCAATATATGTTTGTTTGGTTACTTTCAAAGTAATAAGAATTTTTAACTCCCCCTCCCCCCTTCACAAAGTACAAACTAGATTCTATTTTTTAAATCCAGACACCACCCTCAAAGTTGAAAACCGAAAGCCCAAAAATTTAAAGACACAAAAATAAAACACATTTATCGATCCACATAGAATCTAAAATTTAAGTTAAAAAAGTTATAATTAATTTAACTTTTAACTTTACTTTAACTTTTTAATTCGTGATGCAGCACTGCTTTGTACGTATGTATATTCTGAGTTGTTATACTTCAACGCTGTTATACCATTCATTATAATGTTTTATAAAGTAGAATGGAATTTATTGACGTTACGGGGCCCCGTTTCAATCCAGTTTAATATTTTGTTGCGTTTTCGATTAAAGTTCAAATGCTTATGTTTAATGTCATCCGGAAGAACTACATAATAGCGTTTAATTAATTATTGATCAAACAAAACTCATAAAGTATAAGGCGGCGCTTCGCGTAGGCAATTTAGGGTCATATTTCTATTGTAGGTATATTTTAGTTAGATCAAATTAATATTAAAGGACGCCAAAGCTTTTTCTGCAATATAGAACCACATCACATCAGTGACATAATAAAAATAAAGAAACCACATTCATTATTTACAGAAGAAAACCTGGAATATGCAATATTGGTGCAATATCACTAATACGAAAAAGTAATTGTTATCCTAAAATCAATTTTAATACGTTTTTCCCGCTCAAATGATATGCACTGCCAAAATTGTATCATCTTATAGCTGGGAACTTGTATTTCTCATCAATAACAGTAATATATTGCCTTCTCGGTTTTTAACCTATTCCAAACCATTTTCCTATTCTGTTTTATATTTATGCAGCAACAGACAATGTTATTTACGTGACACTACTTTTAACTTAGAACTAATAACGAAAATATCAGTTAAAATATTTTTAATTTTCTTAAAATTCCATGTGCGTGAAGTTGGCCTCCCACCATGATCAATCTTTTTCAAAGTTATGTTATCATTTTGCAAATAATTTGGAAATATTTGCAAATTGGTTTTCAGAGTTTGCAAATAAATTCCCTGCCAGGAATAAAAAAAAAATTATAATTTAAGAATAAGCGAAAAATATTATAATTTCTGCTCCTGCAGAATTCCTGATATTGTGTGTGCACTGCGGAATAAATCAGATATACGACTGGTCTTAAGTCTGAAAATATTGAGATTTATTATGAAAAAAAAACCGTATGGATCGCTTCATGTTTCTTGTTCATGTCTGCATCTTTGCTAACTGAAATTTTAAATCGATTGCGTCTTTGCAACTACATCGACAATCGCCACGGATTTCATTTTAATTTATACTAAGTCAATATAATAAAACCATAGATATATAGTACATTACAAAATTGTATATCAAGGAGTTCCGTGTTTGAGATTTGATCATTAAGATAACGAAATGAAGTATAACAATAACCAAAATAATTTATAATTTTAAAATTTAAATTACAACAGTATATAAAGTACCTATTATTTTAATTTTTAATTTAATAATTAATTAAGGTTTTGTTTAAATATTTGAAGCACAAGCATATTATTTTATGAGTTATTAAATAAAAATCTTACTATAAATAAATGTGATTACTACTTTTTAGATTTAACATAAAGGTGAATAATGCATCACATTTACCTAACCAACTATAGTTTGTAAAATTCCAAGTTAAATCTTTTCTCTGAATACTGTCGAGCACGAAATTAATAATTAATATTTTATGTATTAATTTTGAGTGCATTGGTCAGGTATATTTTAAGCTATTCCAGAATATTTTAAATTTAAAATTTCTTTATTTGATTTCCGATAGATATTCAATAATCAGCAGAGCGACTTTCACAGCTTTATTAAATAATTTGATGTTTGATGTACGAAGATCTACGACTGCGTCACTTTGATTCGCGGT